GGAATGGCCGAGACCGCAGGTGGGTTGCACTGCTAAAAATGCACGTTGACCAGGGTGGGGGATGCAGGACAGAAGTCTACCTCAGGGAATGATTGATGACAATGCAAGTATGAATTGGCGACAAGAAGGCGATGGACACGCTGATGGGATTTGAGGTGGGAATCTGGTTCGTCGAAAGAGAAAGATTCCTGTCTACCTTATTATTTGATGTTTGTGTAAGATTTGTGAACCAGACAGTAAGACGGGAGGCTCTACCTTTTCGCTTCGCCTACTTACCTTACCTAAGATAAGGTGGTCTGAGGCGAAGTGAGGCGCGTGGGAATTACGCCTTAGGATCTGGCCGTTCAATTCCGTTTCATTGCTTCCTTTCAATTTCCAAATGCCTCTACATCGCCATCGGTGAATGGAATCTGCGAGGTAGGATAAGCCTGGGCCTGACGCTTGGACGCATGAATCAGTGGCGGCGACAAGTAACACTGGGTGAGGTCTTACAAAAAGAGGACTGTTGTTCAAGAATAACTTCCATTGAGGTTAGGCTGCCGTCAGCATCATGGACTGCCATTCGGCAATCGGTGGGATAGATAGGACCCTTGAGATACGGCTGTGCTGCTGATTTGGAGGGACCCAAGAATAGTCTTCCGGGTGGACAAATTTCGGAAATCGTTAACGAAAGTCAATTTCTAGTCGGACAGGCAAACTGAAATTTGGCTTACTCACCTGCCCGGCGAACGACAGTGCTCAGACGTCAACCAAGGCCTATGTCCAAGAGTGTGTTATGGCAGGTACTATGTACGTGAGGCTATCGTGAACTGTCAAGTCGGGAAAAGGTAACCGTTTTATTTAACGGTAAATACTTAATTTTAAACACCAATCCCTAAAGCCACTAATGATCAATACATCCTGTCGCCATGTTCCAATTCAAAAGGAGACAAACTTATGTTTTTCGTCAAGGCTAGTACGAAGCATCGTTGTTCTTGATGCGCATCTAATGTTGAAATGTACTTCTTCAGCATGGCAATATCTCCGGCTAGGGACCTTACGCAAGTCACCCAGGACGTCTCATTATACACACACTCCCGTCACTATGAGTACAACTTGGAAGGTAATGAGGGACTGGGATGGTTACAAAAGGTACCTTACGGAGTACCTTACGGTAGGCAAGGCATGTAAAGAGCGATTTCTCGACTTTCCCCGTTATCCACGGGTGCCCCAGATTTTGCGATAAGATTGAGTTCGTTCTTATCTAGAACCCGCCACTAGCCGAGGAGACATCCGGGTTTTGCACGGCTCGGTTGACAGGCCCCTCTGCGTGCAGCGGTGCACCTTATTGGGGGCATTGGCGTCCCTGTGCCATCTCACTTGGCACCACTGAGATTGTTTTGAATACTCGAAATGCTGTGCAACTCTTGAAGACATTCGGTTCGTCAATTGAGTGAAATCTCTCATTGATCTTTCATGGCAATGTTGTGCTGATTCCAGGTCACCTCGTAGAACTGCGGCGGGGAAATCACAGGTGCTGGCCGGGGTTCTCCATATTCCTCTCCCAAAGGCCCCAACCTCGTCCAGGTTCATGTCAAAGCTCCCCCCATTCCCCCGCCCGCTGCCCCAGGCTAGAGAGGAGCAATTCAGGCCCTGTGGGCTGTGGCTCTCGAATGCCATCATGGCCCGCCAGGGGTAAGCGCAGACAACCTCGGATCAAACAGCCACACAAGCTTCGGCAACGAGCGGCACCCTACCTACCTTACCCTGCCTCCCTTCCACTTGAGCGAGACAAAGCTCCAGTTGCTACGGCGTAGAAAACACTGCTCTGCCATTCTTCTCTTCCTTTCCCCAAACTTCTTCTTCCTCCTGATTCGAGTGACCACGCAGAAGAGAGAGAGAGAGAGGCATTGAGTCTGTGACGATACCCAAATATCATTGATACCCCCAAAAGGCCATCCACTTCTCACCACTCTTCTCCCAATCAATTGACCTGCATACATAACACATCCTCGCGGTCATGTCTGCGGCGGTCAACCGAGGTCTCAGGACAGCTTCCCGATCATTGCGTCTCCAATCGCGAAGCGTCCGTCTGGCCACTCCTCTCCGCGCCGGTCTCGCCTCCACTAACTTTGCCGCCCGCTCCGCACCTCAACACTCTCACAACTTCACCACTTCATCTGCGAGACAGAGCGCCGCACCAGCCATGGCCGAAGCGAGAGAGTACGATCCTGAGATCAAGGACATTGCCAACTACGTCCAAAGCTACAACGTCGATTCCGAGCTTGCTGTAAGTCTCTTTTCTTTCTTTATTGCTTCTTTCTATCCTTCTTGCACTGCCTTCAAGTCTGGGCGACCCGCCCGAGTTTTACCCCGCGTCACAGTCAGATCGCCGCCGCTAACCGCCGCTTTCGTGAGAATAGTTCGACACGGCACGATGGGTTTTCCTGGACACTCTGGGCTGTGGTCTTGAGGGCCTCCGCTTCAAGGAGTGCAGCAAGCTCCTGGGTCCCATCGTCCCTGGCACCGTCGTTCCCAATGGCCCTAAGGTCCCTGGTACCGACTTCCAGCTCGACCCCGTCAATGCTGCCTTCAACATCGGTGCCATGATCCGTTGGCTCGACTACAACGACTGCTGGCTCGCCGCCGAATGGGGACACCCTTCCGACAACCTGGGTGCCATCCTGGCCGTGGCCGACTGGATCACTCGTACCAACAAGGCCGGCGGTAACATTGCTGGCGGCAAGCAGTTCACCATCCGCGATGTGCTCGAGGGCATGATCAAGGCCCACGAGATTCAGGGCTGCCTGGCTCTCCTGAACTCCTACAACAAGGTTGGCCTGGACCACGTTGTCCTTGTCAAGGTCGCCAGCACTGCTGTTGTCTCCAAGATGCTCGGCCTCAACGAGAAGCAGATTGCCGACGCCGTCACTCAGGCTTGGGTAGACGGCCAGAGCTTGCGCACTTACCGTCACTCCCCCAACACCATGTCCCGCAAGTCGTGGGCTGCTGGTGACGCCTGCCAGCGCGCCGTCAACCTGGCCCTCAAGGTCATGAAGGGCGAGCAAGGCATTCCTACCGTTCTGTCTGCCCCCGTCTGGGGTTTCTACGATGTTCTTTTCAAGGGCAAGAAGTTCGAGTTCCAGCGCCCCTACGGCAGCTACGTCATGGAGAACGTTCTCTTCAAGGTCTCCTACCCTGGTAAGCAGTTTTGTTGATGATTTTCGCACTTCTGGGCATGTCCACTCACGAGAAACAGCCGAGTTCCACTCCCAGACCGCCGTCGAGGCCTCTTCCAAGATTCACCAGCAGCTCAAGGCGATGGGCAAGTCGGCGGCCGATATCAAGGGCGTCACCTGCCGTACGCACGAGGCCTGCATCCGCATCATCGACAAGCAGTTCAAGCCCATGGACAACTTTGCCGACCGTGACCACTGCATCCAGTACATGGCCGCCACCATGCTCGTCTTCGGCCGCCTCGAGGCTACCGACTACGTCGACGGCAGCGAGGCCGCGACCTCCCCTCTCGTCGAGTCCCTGCGCCAGAAGTTCAAGTGCGTCGAGGACCCGCAGTTCACCAAGGACTACCACGACCCCGCCCTCCGAACCATCTCCAACGCCCTGACTGTCGAGTTGAACGATGGTACGGTGCTCGAGGAGGTTGTCGTCGAGGCACCTCTCGGACACCGCCTGAGAAGAGAGGAGGCCAAGCCCGAGATCCTCAAGAAGTACAAGAGGCACTTGGAGCCCCACTTCGATGCCGGTAGGGTTAAGCAGCTTGTTGACCTTGGCCTGGACCCCAAGAAGTTGGAGGCCACTCCTGTGGATGAGTATGTCGATCTGTATGTTGCCAAGGACAGCAAGTTCATTTAGGCGGTGGCGCATAAATGATTTCCAGGAAAAGATCTAGGAAAAAGTTTGGATACTATAGATGTTATGTTTCTACAGGATTTAGATATGGAAATCTGACAAACAGTATCATGACGCTCAAGGAAAAGTCCATCTTTGGTGCAAGGTATTGTTGTCCTCGTGTCGGCACCGTGTACGACGAGTCGTTGGTCGGTGCAACTGGGCGGCTGTCTCTAAAGAGGATGAGGATATCCGTTTGAATATGACAGTTGTAGATAATACGAGTATTCTTGGACACCCGACTGGCTACGCATTAATGGCTTGTCGCTGACGAATCCGCCCCTGCAAGAAGCTCCTACGGCTCCCTCCCGACTCAGACAAGTGCTGCACAGGCATGGTCAGGTTTGGCGGGCACAGCCTCCCCGAAACCTCTTTAGGGGGATGATTGGCTTCATCGTAACCCAAGCACACCAAGCACACCCAAGCACACCCAAAAGTCTGTACTGTGTACGGAGTATAGGCAGTACCTCGGATGACTGATGATCGCCAAGCCCCGTTCCCTGAGCTGAAGTCTGGGCGACGCTCAACTAGTGGATATTTTTCAGTGGATGTTTCTCCTGGAACGGTGGAAACGGAGACGGCCAGGACTCCAGGAGACCAAGAGAAACGGCTAGCTCGGGTCGCGGCATTGTTTTGCGTTTCACAGGCCAGACACCTTTCGTTTTCCAGAGTGTCATTTGGAACCACAGGGACCACCAAAAAAGGTGAGGGACTCCAAGTCTCGAAATGCATGGCGTGTTACCTAAGCCGCACTGCCACTCACCTTGGGTACCTACTGTGCTACAGCCTGCCTGCCTCTACGGCCTGTACCTCCCACTTGGCCCTCCACCAAGAGCGCCACTTTAGTCCGTATTGATCTCCTGTTCGGACCTTTACTTCACTCCGACCGCATCTGTTTGTTCTGGAAACAACTTCGCCTCCTTCGATTTTCCCAACGTCTGAATCTGATACCCTCTTGCTTTTCGACTCACGAGAAACCTTTTGCTCTGCTCTCCTTAATACCGACCGACAACAACAACAACAACAACACTCGACTTTCCACTGCACACCTCTCGAGCAACACTTTGATAGCCCATCTAGATTCAAGTGGGGTTAGTCTCATAGCAGGCACCATGGACAGACAAACCATCATCGAGACCAACAGGTCGCTGCGCACCATCAAGAACGTAGGCCAACCCCCGATAGCTTTCCGAGGCTATCAAGAGCGGCGCGGAAGACATCGGTCAACTATGGCCGCTTCTCATCACAAATTCCTCGATATCCCGCCCGATCCGCAATCACACGGAATCGCACGAAACACCTTGTTCTAACATACCTTCACTCTCAGGAACTCGAGAACCTCCTCGAAAAGGGCGTCATTTCCGAAGATGCCTATGACAGCATGCATGCCACCCTCCCCGCCGAGACCCCCCTCCACGGCGCCGCATCCCGCGCCGCTCCCGCCGCCGCCGCGACCCCCGTCCAGCACAACAACCCAACCTCCCCGCCGGCCCCGACCGCCGCCATGGCCGCCCTGAACGTCAACCCTTCCGCCTCCCCGGCGCCACCCTCTTACAACCAGACCGGACCTCCCTCCCTCCCCGCCCGCACAAACGAGAAGCCCGTCCTGGCGCACGCCCGCGCGCTGTACCGCTACGCCGGCGCCGACGCCCGCGACGTGGCCTTTGAAAGGGACGACCGCATCGCCATCCACGAGTACATGAACGCCGACTGGTGGATGGGCCGGAACCTCCGCACCGGCCAGGAGGGCATCTTCCCCAAGACGTACGTCCTCGTCGAGCAGGACATGGCCAAGGGCGCCTTCGCTCCCGTCCCGGCTCCCGCTCAACCTCAGTATGCCGCCCACCAGCCGCAGTGGGCGCCCCAGCCGCAGTACGCCCAGCCTCAGGGCCCGCCGCCCCAGCAGAACCCGTACAACGCCGACGCGCCGCCCCAGGCTGTCGCGGACCAGAGCACGGGGGGCAAGGAGGGTGGCGGCAAGGGAGCTGAGATGGGCAAGAAGTTTGGAAAGAAGCTCGGTAACGCTGCTATCTTTGGTGCTGGTGCCACTATCGGTTCCAATATTGTCAACAGCATCTTCTAAGCGTTCGTTTGGTGAGGTGCTGAAAATTGTGCTGATGTTTTGCTATGGGACATAGTCCATGGCTGGTAACCTGGATGGAAAGGGTTCTTTCCGTTCGGGGATGAACATTGTTGGAAGGACGTAAAGGGCTAGATTGCCTCTCTTCCATTTTACTGTTATTTGCTGGGAAATTGGGTGTATATCTCAGATTCCCCTTTGGGAAAGCCACAGCCCGGCCGGTGTGCCCCGTCAATCGTGGGGAAGCTCGGCTGAGGTTGCTTTGAATTGGGTTCGCTGCATGGGGAAGATTGGCACATATGGACACGCTCATTCTGGTTTTTTTCCCTCTTCCGCTAATTGGTCATGGGTATAGGCGTTTTATCTGTATTTCACAAGACAATTCCACACATTGGAATCGAATACACTTTTTTTTACATACAAGTTTCTGGTGACGTGATGCTGGAGCTTTCCCACGTGTTTTTTTGGCTCTGTCCATGTGTCTGTCGTCACTTGTTGGGCTCAATCTAGTGAGTGAACTATGAGAAGTAACGTGACCACCTGAAAAGTCAACCAGCTCCCCCAGGTAAACTAGTCTATTCAAGAAGGGTCTCCCGAAGATGAGGACGTGATTTGGGGAGGGTTGTTGTATCATTCGTGGGCAAATCGATTCGGGACCGGCCTACTTTGGGGGCAAAAATCGAACTCTAGGTTGCTACCGGAGGATTCTCATATTCTGCCCCCTTCTTCCTAGGTGTCCTGTTTTGTGTGTACTATACCCAAAACACGCGCTTACAAGACTCGAAACTCCAATCAACGCACGAGCTTCGGGCCAAAAAAGGAGAGAACGAGAGGGAAGGAAGAGAAGGGGGGTTTAGTTCGATGACTTTCGCGGCTCGGTCACCCCGGACATCCGAGGTGGTCCCTGGCCTGTGGATCAACCCCCTTCTGAACTTGCTCGTTACCGGTCTGACGGGTGTTTTCCTCTTAGGTTTTGGTCGGGGGGGGGGCAAGGGATTGACTGGGTTTGGGAGGTTCGGAGAGGAAGGGGGGATGGGGGCGGAGGGTGGTCATGGCACGACGATGGCTTCGTTTTGCTTCTTTTTTTTATTTTTTTTATTTTTTTTTGGGTATCTCGAAGAGAAAGTGAGAGAGAGAGACCCACAGAGGAATACGGAGACATGTCAACATTGGCCAGGCCGGGCGTATCTCGAATCGATCAGCTTGCTCGCCCTCGATTATTAACACTCTCTTGTTATTCCTCACAGTTCTACAGTTCTACGTTGTCACCTCTGAATCCGGGGAAGGTGACAGACACCCCGGAATGTGGTGGCATTGCTAAGTGGACGTGACCTTGTAAAATAACGAAAGAAACGGCAAACTTTGGAGGGTTCGTTTTCTCATCTTGTCGCTAATAAGCCGGCGAAGTTGGAGGGAAGGAAGATTGAGGCGCGGGCGTATTGAGGAGACTTTTGGGGGGGGGGGGGGCTACCAAGCTGTGTATAACAGAGTTGTGTGTTACTACTACTGCTGCTCAGCCTTCAACTTCGCTTGTTATAGACCCCCGATGTCATCATAACTGTCTCCTGGAGGATATAATCAATAGGGATCATGCCCCAAGAGGGTAGACTTTCGGGGGCAAAAGCTGAGATGTGAAGAAGGAAAGAGTTCTTGATTTCCTCTGACGATCTATCGTATCCCACTCATCCCACCCGTACACACACACACACACACACACACACACACACACACACACACACACATGCATATCTGCACATACCAGCTACCGCCCTTCCCTCCATCTCTCCCAAGCTGATACGCCGGTGTGAAAGTGCGAGGGCAACTTCTCTCGTCTCTTCCTATCCTGGATACTTCTCCCAGTCCCACTCCCACCACCAAAAACTCATCCAATCCCCATGATCCCCCCGGATGAGATCTCTCCGACCCTCAGCCCCCCTCTCTTCCAACATCACTCTTCGCCAAACCCCAGACTTCAAAGACCACCCATCCCAGCACGTCTTACATGGATAGACCCCCTTCCATCCCACCCACACTCTTCAAAAAACGCCAACGAGATGAAAACATGTAAGGTTTGATCGAATCGCACTGCTCCTTTCACCATCCATCCCTAACCAGGTTATTCTTAGACTTTTTTTTCTAAGTTCCTTGGTTCAATGTCGGTACCGAGGCCGTGGACGAACATGTGCTCGGTTCGGGGAACGAAAAAAAAAAAAGAGAGAGATCGGGGAAACAAGAGTGGGAAAAGAGACGGAAGGGGAAGGAAAACGTGGGCAAGTCCGGTTCGGGCGTGAACTTTCACACCTTTCCACCCCGTGTTTGGTCGGTCATGCTCCCCCCAGACTGGGGTAGTTCTTCTCATGGACGGGGAGATGATCCGATAGGAGTTGGAAATCTGGGGGGTTCTTATGCGTGATTGATTTGAATCTGGGGAGGCAGGTTTGATTACGAACTCCCCATGATCACGTCGATATTGATGGGTTAGGTACTCTCAAAAATACGACTTTTGTCTTTCTATTAGTTAGTTGAGCCAAAATTGTATCTCCGTGAGACTCACGAAATTTCAAGTGTCTACTGTGACGTGATAGCCCAGGTAATAGGTATACCCCTCATATCTCATCCTCTCATTGTGATAGTAATCAAGCATGGTGGTTTTCGTACCACCACAATTGCAAACACGTCACGCAGCGTATCAAATTCCAGGGCAAAAAGAGAGTTGATTTTCATTCCGCTGTCCAATCTCCCCCAATCTCCATCGTGCGAGAAGGAACACATGCCTACAGTGTCTTAGAGAACACAACTCCTTCTTTTCCGACGAAGTCACCAGGGAGTAAACTGAACAAGTCACCGTCCCTCTCCCCAAAAAAAAATCTCAACAACATCAAAGTGTCGAGATATTTTCTTTCTCCCGAAGTCTCGACCGCTGCCATATTGCAGCGACAAACCGGGGCTTAAAGAGGCGAGGTAAGTGAAAAGAGGGGGGACGGCAGAGCGAAAACGCCAACAAAAACACTACCAGTCTAGCAGGCTCCGAAAACACGTTCCCGCCCATTCCACCACCACCCCCCCTTTCTTCTTCCCCGAGAGTGAAAAAAGAACAGACCCGAGTCGAGTTCCGGGTCTGGCGCTGGTGAAAAAAAATTCGCACACGACGCTCCGGCCACTCGTGATGCGAGCGCCTTTTCCACTCTGTGACAACTTTCAAGAGTGTGGCGCTCGCAAAGTCTTCTCTGCTCCGCTTCGTCCTCTACAGCAACGCTGAAATGCTCCTCTGTCTCTCCGTGTTGAACATTCTGTCGTTTTTTCTCTGCAATCTGTGGTACGCTTGCGTCTGTCACGCAGGGCTACTACACGCACTTCGGAAAGTGTAGTCCCTCGAGAAATGGCGGCGTGTGCCCTTACATCGGCCGAGCAATGCCGATGGGGGTACCCATCTTCTCGTCCTGCCACTGCGGCCGCTCGTTGTTCCAGTACTGGTCGTCGTCTTCGAGCGTCTTGGCCGGAGCGACCTGGGGCTCGAGGCGGCCGGCGGTCCAGGCACGCATCGGCTTGCCGTACTTGTACATGACGGGCAACAGCATCGAAACACCCGCGAGCGCTGCGCTGTAAATGCCAAAGTTCTTCAAGAATCCGAGCTGCTCAATCCAGGTGGTGACGTTGAATGACATGATGAAACCGATGATGAGACGGGATGAAGAGACGTTGACCAGGACGGGTCTGACCACGCGTGTTAGCTGCGAGATTTTGAGTTTGGTGATGGACATAACTTACCCTGCGAATCGGGGATAACTCTCAACCAAGTAAACGGCGAAAATGGTATTGGCAGTCAACAAGCCGAAGCCGATCAAGAAGATGGAGACGAGCACGACAATCGAAGGCAGTGTTCGAATATTCTCACCGGCGTAACCGAACAAGATCGGGCCGACGATGGAAGCGAGAAGAGGGAACACCAAGCTGAGAAGATGAGCCTCGGGCTCACGTCGACCTCCGTTACGCTTCGCGACGTAGTTGGAAATCTTGTCGGCCACGTAACCACCAAAGAACCAGACGAACGGACTGGCGATGACAATGGGGATGACGGCGAAACCAAGCGTCTCGAACTTCCAGCCGGCAGCAATCAGGAGTGACGAACCGACCTGACCAGCAGCGCCCTGCATGGAAACAAGAATGGAGTTGATGATGATGACCCAGATGATGTTGGGGAACAGAGTCGTCTTGAACATGTCAATGACGGACTGCTTGGCCTCCTTCCACTCGTAGCCGTAGTTGAAAATGCCGAACTCATCCCAGTTGGAGCGAGGGCGGAAGGTCGATTCGTCGATGCGAGGACGGGTTTCACCGGGGCGCAGGGGGTAAACCTCCTTACCAGCTGTTCCGTTACGTTAGCCATATACACCAGTTCCAATGTAGTGATACTCACCAAGCTCATCGTCGCTGCGAATCCAGCGGGTCTCGGGTACGAGCAGGATGAGACCAATCCAGGCAAGCACACCAACACCGGAGGTGATCCAGTAGATGAAGCGCCAAGAGAGGCGGGAGACAATAATGGGACTGTTTCAAGTAGTTAGTCACTGTAGAAAGCCACTAGTGTATTCGACAAGCGTTTCAAAAGCTCACCTCATGATACCCAAGCTCACAATCAAGAGACCCTGAGAAGCACCAACGGAAGAGATGGCCTTGTTACGCTGGTGGATGAACATCATATCCTGAATGATGAGGGGAATCAGAGCCTCAACGGCACCTGCGCCGAATCCCTGGAAGCAACGAGCAGCCAAATGGCTTCCGAGGCCCTGAGAGAAGCCGGCCCAGAGACCTCCAGTCCATGCCAAGAAACCAGAGAGCAGAAGCACGGGGCGACGGCCAACGGCAACCGAAAGCGGTACAAGGAGATAAGAACTGAGTCCATTGACGAGCAAGGGGACGGAGGCCAGCAAGGCGACCTGGTACAGCGGCGGCCCGCCGAGACCAGCAAGAAGCTTAACGGGGTCGAGGTTGACTTCGCCGGGCTTGTTCAGGGCCGAGATATCGATCTGGCTGAGGATGTGGGGATCGATGCCAGAGTACTCCAATACAAAGACTGGGACTAGGGCACCAACAATGAATTCAGCCGCGAGGGCGAGTGATCCGACTGCGACATAGTCAGTATCGACACAAGTGTGGCCTACCAACGTATCACTTACAGAAGCAGAGCGCGCCAATAGACGTCCATTTCCTCCAGTTCGGCAAGTTCAGGGGATCTGTCAAGTCGTGTCAGCAACCATTTTTGCGCCATCAAGTCGTTTTATCCCCCCCTAAATCGCCATCGTAGTCGTAAACTAACCCTTGGGATCCGGTGTGGGCATAGGCACAAATCGAATAACTCCTCCCTCGAACAACTGCGTCGATCCCACCACCAGGGCGTTGGGGGTCTCGACCCTCTGCACCGTGGCGAGGTTATCCGTAGATTCGGTCCAGCCGCTCTTTGACGCCATCTTGAAAGTCCTGTCCAAGGAACTTATCTAGATGTCGGATATTGTCGTCGTCGTAGCCGTTGTTGTACAGCGTATCGTGATGTATATCGGCCGGTTCCAATCTCTAAAATCTTTGTTGATCACGGAGTCGCTTTCGTATTCCTCCCCGCGGAATTTTTAGTCGTCTGGCCAGAAAAGGAAACAAGAGTCTCGAGGAGAATGGACGGCGGCGAGGGTTTGGAAATATACTGCTGCATGTCGCCGTGCGGTGACAGGTTGGCACGAGGGGCGAACGCTCTGTCATAGGCCGGCCGCGGTTAGACGAGCAGTCTAATCTGAGACGAAGGCCGATGTGTGCAACTGCGCAACTGTTTGAGCGCACGGAGCAATGTACGGGGGGGTAAGAAGGGATAGACTCGAAGCATTTCCAAATTGGTCAACTCATGCGGATGTTTGGGGGGTGATTTGACTTGGGTGGGATGGGCGGCATCGGATCGACCTAATCCTGGCCTCGCATCTGTTGGTGAAGAGCCTATTCGGGCAATACGTCAACCTGGGTCTTAGTTAGCAAGACTCAACAACTCTATAGCCCTCCACTGGCCCACACAAACAAGACAACCTAATGGAGCCTTCAGTCGATCTGCCCCGCGCTGAGCCAAAACGAACAAGCTTTACAAAATGGTCGTGTTTAGTCCGCCTCTACTATCGAAAGAGATAGTAACAGACAAAGTCTCTTTTGGAACAGACCAACGAAAAAGTGAGATGATGATGCCAGCCAAACATGAACTTTGGCAAGCACGACAACCAGAGGAGACACAGAGAGAGAGACACACACAGAGAGAGAGAGAAAGCGAGAAAGAGAGACAGAGAGGGAGAGAGAGAGAAAGGCTGCCATGCCATCCCTCGGGAAAGCTCTCATCAACTCATCACTGGAAGAGGGCGGGCCTTGCGAGCAACGTCGAGATGGGATGGTTGCAAAGTGACGGCACCGTCGACCATTGGGTCACTCCTGAACCGCCACGATCCCACTGTTGTAAAACTCTCAGATACGGCGAAGAGTTTTGAGTTGTTGCGATGGAGGGGTGCGTTGGCCTCGAATTGGTTCGAGCTGAAACACCATCACAATAGTCTATGCAAGGTCAACCCTTGTCTCTCCGCCTTGAGCCTCAAAGCAGCCCACCCCGGTAGTGGGCGGCAACTTACAGTAGACCAACGGCATCGCAGCGCTCGGAGAATTCGAAAAGAAATATACAAACACCTAGAGGTTAATTTCGACGAGCCGGCGTTCAACTTACGTACGATTCCACAATTTTACCCCATACTCTGCCGTAGCCCCGTCAACGACGATCCATGGCAAACACGCCGAACTGTGTCGTGGCCTCGACATCCGATTTTGATGAGAGTCATACACTCTGATGCGACGCCAAGTTTCCTTCGCATCCATCAATCTTCCAAACATGCTTCGACACGGATGAATACTCACTACAGGCGAAGCGTGGGCCGCCATGTTCCACCGCCACTCTCGGCCCGCTTTCACAAGCTGCCGTTCATGGGATGAGCCTCGGGCCAATCTTTTGAATCCCAAAGGCCTAGCTAGTTACGTGTTTGTCTTGTTCGGATTTTCCATTCAAAAGTCATTGTGCTGTCAGTGAGACACTTAACACCAGACGTCCGCCGGCAATGAAAGAATGTGAAATAAATCGTCCATTCGTTTCCGGTTCCCACCTCATCGCGTTCGCTAACCGGCACTACTTGATCCGCCCGTCTGTGTCATGAAATGCTGCCATCCGTCCACCCGTCATCGCAAAATAGGGTGTTGAGCAAAGTCAAGCCCTTTTCCACCTGGTGATTCAAGGAAACATTCGCAACCAATGCTGCTAGTGCAGGTGCTAAACCAATGAGTGGTATCCATGCCCGATATGTACCCAAACCCTCCAAACTCCTTGTAAACATCAAAATCCTAGGTATCTGTGCGCGACGTACGAAGCCAAAGAAAATTTCGGTTGCTGGTGATGCTACGAATCGAAAGCAAGCGTTGATGCGAGGCGGCGTCGAAACCAAATTAGTCCCTGCTTGAGAGAGACTCGGGAAGCGATGATGCTAGGATCTCATCCTGAGTCTCGGTATCGTCGGGCCATGTGGGTAGGTCGAGCGATGCATACTGCTCCCCAGTCTGTTCCTCCAGTTCCTTTCGGAGTATTTCGATTGCAATCAACCAACGTCGTTGCAGTCTCTGCTTGCGGTCATTAAAAATCTTGACCAGGGTATCTTCTTCTTGCGCAAAATCCGTTGCCAGATTCTCTATGTCCTGCTCTTTCTTGTCGGTCAGTTTCTCAAGTTCTTGCTCCTGTCGTTCCAAAAGCTCTTCCATGCGCTTAGCCTGCCGGTCTCGTAAAACGTTGATTTTTGCCTGATGCAAACGCTCCATGCCATCTCGCACATTGTACTGTTGTCCCAGCAGGCGTAGGTCCCTCTCCGTAACTACTCGTGGTGGCAGATCGGCATTCTGCGTCCGGCCAAGCCCATCGCAGTACGCCTCCATGTGCTTGAGGCGAATCTTGACGCTCTTCTCGCTCTGGTCAAGCGTTGACCGAAGATCCATCTCAGCCTCAATCTGACGCTCCTCCAAGTGAGCAGCCGTCTTCGCGTGGCGCTCTTTCATCTTGTCGATCTGGTCCGAGTATCGGTCCGTCAAAGCCTGCTTCTTCTCGGCGTGTCGCGTCCACATGAACCCTTTCTTCTTCCTCAAATACGCCCGGAATCGATCCAGCTCTTCGTTCATCTCGTCTTGCAATGCAGAGAACTGCGCGTTCTCACGGGTCCGCTTCTCTGCTTCGACCTTTTCGGCGGCTTCGGCGGCTGCCGCTGCTTCTTGAGCAACCTTTTCCGCCTCCAGTTCAGCTTCTCTGGCCTCTTCCTCCATTCTCCTGCGCTCCAATTCTTCGTCTCCGTTGCAAAAGTTGGGACAACCCACGGATGGATCCCAGATGGCGCCGCAGATGTAGCAAAACTGAGCTTTGCATCTACAAGTCATGTGCGTACAGCCCTGACTTAACTCGACTAGTGTTCGACACTTGTAACAGCGTCGCCAGCCGGATTTCTCGCCCATCTTGAGAACAGCCTCCAGTTCCCAATCAGAAGGGCAATCTTTGCCTACGGGATGGGCGTTGCGTTTGCACATCACGCATACCCGAGTTCGACATTTACGGCACACCACATCGAAAGGGTGCTTCGGGTCGATCCGGTTGCGAGGAGGGATAAATTCACCACAGGCCGTATTTGGGCAAAAGATTCTAGCTTCCCAAGGTGTGCTGAATTGCAAAACCGCCTTCAAAAAGGCGTGTTGCTCCTCTCGGTTCAGAATTCTCTGAATGATGGATCCCGGAATCGGCTGTGTGCAGCATCGAGGCGGCATCTTGGACTCGTCTGTCGTAGCTTGCTGAATCATGATACTAAGGCATTCGGCACAGTACGTGTGGCCACAGGGCAAGCTGTGCAGGGCATTCGACTTGTTGAAGTCATTGCGACAGCATATGCAAGAACTTGAGGTTGGTCAGCTCGTATACAAGGAAAGTAAGGGGTGGGGGTTACACACATTGTGGATTCTAGCAAGCCAGACTTGCGCTTCCATCGTATTTTCCTAATGCCCTCTTTGATGCTAAAGTAGCTTCTTCTTGAAGTCACGCTAAAGAGGCTGTGTGCGGTTGTGTCGTGTGGTATGGCCGGAGGTGCCTTTTGGATCTTGGGTTGGTGAATATTGGGATCTATTTGCGACAGATACTTGTCGTACTGAGAGAAACTGAGGCTCTTGGAGCGTTTCCTTGCGAGGGAATGCGGAGGAACGTCGGCGGCAATCGGAACCGCATGTAAAGACGGATGAGATGTCAAGGTTGTGCTGGCCGAATCTCGCGAGGCATTTGAAAACGTGCGGACATGTTGCGTCGCGATGGTCGAAGTCTGCGATTCCGCGCTCGAGGTATTGCGCTTATCGTGTGCAAACCGGGACGTTGGAATCCCCAGGGCTGTTGCCTTTGCGACCAGTTCCTCCTCAACATCTGCTTCTGACCGTTGCGACGACAGCCGCAACACCTGGGCGCGATATTCTGCCTCGCCATCGTCTGGGGTAGTCATGAGAGGCGGCGGACGGGCCATGTCCGGAGATGAGCTCGTCTGGCCAGCGAGCGAACCCATGGCGGGCAGAGGGGTCGGATAAGAGGAAGTCGTCAAGTCAGGGCAGCGCGAGCAGAGGCATCGTGGTTCGGGGCTCGGTGTGGTTGACAGCTCTCCGGACCTCGCCGGCCGGTCAAGCAGACAAAGGTGGTACGACTAATTGGCAATTAATGCGCAGATGGTTTGAAACGGAAGTTGCAGGTACTGACTTGACATCGAACGGATCAAGTGAGGCCGGAGAAAGGATGAACCCACGAGGCAGGGCAACCACAAGCTCTGGCGAGTAGGCGAAGTGGACAGCAACAATGATAGGACGAGAGGAGAGCCAAGGTTTGCAGGTGGTGGTGAAGGGCAAGGAAGGCCCAAGGGCGAGAAGCGGGAATAGGTGCGCCGGGATATACAGTACTGGTAGAGGGCGCGAAAGGGTGGTGTATGTCGTTTCTTTTTTGGGTGTGAGGGCGAAACGGCGAATTGGGATGCGGCCTGGACCGCGAACGTGACTTGACGGGATAGGAGGATGATGCAAGGTTTGGTGAGTGTCGATTGATTATCGAAGAGGGGATGGGGAGCCGAGCTGAGCGTCGCTGTGTGTGTGTGTGTGTGTGTGTGTGTAGGAAATACGGTTGAGTGTGAAAGGGCGGTTGATGGCAGGGGCGAAAGCGCAGATCTTTGGGACCCTTGGGAATGACGAGGGGGCCTATCCGTGCACGGGCAGGCTAGAAACGGAGCGGGGAGATGCAGTGACCGGTGGTGCTGCGACGCTGTGGTGGTGAGATCGAGTCGCGGGCGGGTATGGACTGTAGTAGTGACGGTACGGATGGAGACCAGACCGTAAGGAGGACTCGGGGGAGGGGCTCTCCCAAGGTGTCGACAATCAACGTCCCGATGCTAACGTTTTCGAGACAAGGGCCGAACGGTGAGTGCGATTTAAGCCAGGTAGGTGTGCGGTGAATCGGTGGAATGCGAGAGAGGGAGATATCCATAGACAACAGCAAGCGGCGCAGGTAAATTCAGGCACAGGGAGGAAGCTGCGGATTGAACGCCTGCCACGTCCTTTTGCTCTGCTGGTCTGCTACTTTGTCAAATGCAAAGATGAGTAGGGCGAGAGCGGGACCCCAGTTTGATTTGTTGGTGATTTGTCGGCTGATGTGTGACGAGAGCGACAACAGGACGGAACTCGAGAGTCGGGAGGGTGAAAGGGAGAAAAGGAGCCCTGACTAGAGACTGCCCAGGTGGGAATCGGGAAGCGCAGGGCGAGCAGGGGCGGTGGACAGTGGGCCTTCCAAGGTGAGAGCGGTGTTACCTTCTTGTTCGCTGCCCGTGTGGAGAGATAGACACTAATACTCATGGAAGGTAGAGTAGACTACAGGGATGGGGACCGGGGCTCTCAGAATCTTCCATTATTTTTTTGAGGCGACACAAGATGGCCGGTAAGAGATGGCAAAGGCATACAGATGCGTATCCGAGGGCGAGCATGAACATCATAAGAATCAAGATGCAGGTGAGAACCACTGGTTTGGGAAAGATTAGAACAAACGGGACACTGGAGGGACATGGTGACATGGTGACATGGGATTGGGCTTCCGACTGTTGGCGCCACATCCGACATGACCTGATTCCCCATTTCCTGCATGGCTCGACTCCCGTCCGCACTCTGCACTAATAGGTACTGGACTCCGTTCAGTACTTACCTTATCTCATTTCACATGCCTTCACTGCTTCGCGTCAGTAGGTCTTTGGGAGGATTCAATAAGTGTCGTACTGGCTGCATCTTCATGTAAGAAGAAGTATACCTAAGGTACCTAAGGTAAAATAGTACTGCAGCAAACATTGGATACCTACCTTTTTTCCAGTACAAATATGCCTTAGGTAAGATGTAGCATCAGCAGCAGCCAAAGATGGCAGGCACCTTACATCCAATGCTTCCTGCTCTTGCCTTACAAGTCTGGAAGGCCCCGCCGGTGCCGCCGCCACGGACAGATACGTACCGATTCCCGTCCCACCCCGGGCACCTGCACTAAGGCACCTACCTGGGCATCGCATCTCAGCCATTGGATCCCCAGTGGAGAAGGAGAAGGGAAAGAGCGCCCTGGTGCCTTCCCTTGCCCAAACCCCGTCTTGGGTACGGAGTACGGAGTACGTACATTACCTATACATCCCGTGCGCGTGACCTGCGCTGCCTGCCGTTCCAGTGTGCCAGTTGTGCCAGGAGGTGCCAAGGAAGTTGAGAATAGAAGGTACTGAGAAACGAACCTGCCGCACCGTACCTTCTGACGGAGGCAGATTTGCATCTCGTGCTTCCACGTTGATCAGCTTGGACCTCAACGACGACAACTCCACCTCAGGAAGCTTCCCCCCGGTCAATCTCCAACTCACTTTCAACCATGGACTTTACAAGCCTCCAACGCCGCCAGCAACCCCTCACACCTTGACAAGCCTCCTCGATAGACAGGCGATAGATGGACATTAGCCGCCCAGTGGTGGACCAACTGACCCTAGACAATGTCACAAACTTGACTATCACAGACGGAACCCTGCTCATAACACGACTCCTCGGCTTCTTCGTCATTGTCCCTCCCTCGACCAACTGCCATCCTACGGCCTCTACCATGTGGCACGTCGACGGGCCACACTGTTAATGTACAACGTTGGCGCCTGGCGGTGAGCAAATAAAACTGTCCCCGGATACAAGCCTCTGAAGCAGCCTGGATCAAGGCAAAGCTAGATTCGGAAATGCATCTCATTCGTTTGCATATGTGGTATCTGCCCTCTCCTAGGTACGTAGGGGTTGTAGTACCCCTTTCCCTGTCATCGCCAATAATAAGAAGCTCTGTGCTTGGTTGGTCTATTAGTACTGACGGCAAACCTAGGTCTTCAAGTTCTCCGGCCTTCGTCACAGATCCGACTTTCCTGCATGCGCAAACGGGGAAAGCCACGCTCATTCTCCAGCAGCCTCTCGAGCGCCGGCCGTTTTCCTGAATCTCAGACACCGTTGGCACCCAGTCAGAATCCCTAGTATCCGTCGTATGCAGCACTAGATTTGCCGAACCCGAGAGTCAATCCCTATACAGCTTGCAGCAACACTTCGCAACGCATCATGAGCTTTGGCCGGTTGGAGGAAACACCGGAAGCTATCCGTCCCCATGGTACCCGTACCGAGTGCGTAGACACATATCAGCCCACTTTCTCCAAGAACCCCATCCCCCTTCCTGCCGACCGGGGCCAGACCTTGAGAGGCTCCGTCAACACGAAGTTTCGTTCCCACTCGTTGCCCCCTTACAATGGCCTTCTGCCTATCCATACGCTGCCGATTTCTGTATGCGCCAACAATAGTACCAAAGGCTGAGGGGCCTCGAGCCGATGGAAAAGCAGTGTGTTTGAGGAAGTAAACGCTCAAATTTCATCTCAGCTACGCCTGTGGCACCATCGAATCCCCAATATCGTCGCCTGACAACTGCATCCTGGACTTCAACAAGCAGCCTCGAGACGACCTCGACGCCCACAATGCCAGATTCCGCGTCTCCAACAGCTACATTAGGAGTACATGCGAAACTATGAGCCCTTGCCTGCTCGCCACTTAAGCTTTGGAAACGTCCGTGACACTCAAGGTAGATAATAAGGTCGACCGATGGTCTGAGCTTCGCACAGCTCTATTGACAGGGCCAAAGTTACCCATGACTCCAAAGAATCCTCCAATGTCCCCCCAAGGCGACCGCCTTGACTCGCTGACGGATTCTCGACCATGTTGGAGGAGCTCCAATCGAGATTCTCCTCCACAACTCTAATTGCACTCGTGAAGTATGTTGCTGCATGGCTCTCTTGCCCCTTTCCCCGATTCCCCCGCATGGATAACTCGAGTCCGAGTTCCCGCTACAAACGGTACTTACTTTTAGCACCGAGTGCTGCACCGCATCGGCCCCACATTGCGCCGTCCGCTGCCGGAGTCATATCCGGGCTGCCGGAGTTCATTCACGTTCATCATGAAACCTAGATCTACTACACTCGCAATCATCTCATCTACATGCCCAGGTGCCAGAGGCAATGCTCCCCGCATGGAAAACTTATGGTTAGCGGCTGGGAACAGGTACCTTTAGATGTCTCAATTTGGTGACGGTTGGTTTTCCTCACCGCGAACAGAAAAAGAAATCAACAAAGAATGAGAGGGAAAGGACACTGGGCAAAAAGCCAAAGGCAGAAACACGGTTTAACCTTTGCACTGAAATGAAAGTGAGCATGGCCTGGAATGAGGATTTACTAACCACTCAAGCTTCCTGGCCATTTCCCCTTCAACTAATGATCATTCAGGGCGATTCCCGAACCATATTCCACATTGAGCAAGGCTGTTCCAGCCGACTCACCGCAATGAGAAATACATTCTCCATTCGGCTTTTCTATCATCCTAGAACATTTAGTAGAGAACGAAGAATGCCGTCAAACCTGCTGCGGCAAACGGCGCATGAAGAAACCAGTGGAGATGTACGGGCTGCAGCAGTCCTTCTTTGCGCCCGGAGCAACATCGAGAATCACGTAAAGTCATACATATCATTTTCCTTCTCGCCATCGCTTACTTGTCGAGATCATTCGCATCCTGCCCAATATTCATCGCCGCACATCAAGAGACATAGCCGCCATCAACCATGGTGTTACAGATCTTGGTTCTAGGTAAGCGGCATGGCGGCTGGCGGTTGTTGATCCCTGAAGCGGGGGCATCATCGCTGTCACCGCGTCTCATAGGAAGAGGCTCTCTCACTGGCGAGTACTCCTCGTCATCGATGCCCATCTCAACAGGGCTCTCCCACGCATCCAGAAGTAGGTTTCTGACAGATATGACCTGGTAACCAACTTTGATTAAGGAAAGCTATCAAGGTCTCGAAGCACACCGCTTCTCACAACGTGGCAGTACAGTACTTTATGGCTTCCTCCCAGGCCGTTTGCTAGCAAACACCACGAATGCAATGCCACCCTACACTCGAGTCAGTCGTCTACATAACACCATACGCCTTCCACGAAAGCCGGGGTAA